TGACAAACGGTTATCGGGTAGCTGAAAATTCAGGAATGAAAATTCTGAAGTGAGGGTTTTGGGCAGTCTGAAAATCCCGAATGGTCCTGAAGTGGTGAAAGGTCTGAAGACCTTGAAAACCACCTGTTTACGCAGACTGCATCCTGAAGTGGTGAAGGATGTCCTGAAGTGGTCAAATGAGAGTTTTGGGCTGGCTGAAAATCATGAATGGTCCTGAAGTTGTAAAAGGTCCGAAGACCATGAAAACCACCCTTTACCACTTGAGGATGCAGTTTGCCTAAACACGTGGTTTTCAGGGTTTTTGAAGCTTTCACTGCTTCAGAACCATTCAGGATTTTCATACCTGAATGGTCATGAAGTGGTGAAAGGTCCGAAGACCCTAAAAACCGTCTTTTTAGGCAGGCTGCATCCTGAAGTGGTGAAGGGTGTCCTGAAGTGGTGATGAAAAATACGACTGTTGTTAACCTTCTCTCCAATCCCCTTGAAAATTTCCCAGGGTCCATAGTAGACATGTAGCAGTTTCTGCGATATATTTTCTTCTAAGGAATTTTTTTTTGACATGAACCAAACAAGATCTCCTTCTTTAAACTCTGATGGTCAACAATGTTTGTTAGCCTGTTCAATCATTTGTAGTTGGACTTTCTATTTTTTTTTTTTAGTTTCTTTATATCTTCTTCATACAGTTTTGCATACTATTGTGTTCCTGGGGTAGCAGTTGGACCTGTCCCGCATCAATGGGACATCATGACTTTCATTTGTTGTGAGGTGTGTTCGGTGTTCTCTCAGTCACTGTGTGAACACTATTGTTGTACGCACTTGCAATCCTAGGCAAATTCTCATCTCAATCAATCTGATCTGGCCTTACATACATTCGCAGAAGTTGTTGGCACAGATGATTCATTTGTTCAATTCGCCCATTTATTTCAGGATGTCTCCCTGACGACATGGTCAATCGGATGTCGTATGCTTCCATCAACTTTTCTCATTATTAGTCAGTGAATCGAACATTCCGATCAGAAACGATCAATTGTTGAAAATCCATACTCTGAAACTTATTGCATTTGAAACGTTTGGATAAAAAGTTTCGTTATTACTTCGACGGGCAGAGAAATAAACATGACATATTTAGAAAATCGATCAACAATGATCATCACCTTACTCTTGTCATTCCGACTCTTTGTGAGACTCATGAAGTCAATTAAGATGGACTCACTTGAATCACTTAGAATAGGTAATGGTCTCAATAGTCCCAATGGATTCTCATGCGATGGTTTGTTTTTTGGACAAACAAAACAAGTTCACATATAGGTTAGCACATCCTCATTCATTCTTTTCTATTTGATGCGTTCTCTAGCATTAGCATACGTATTCTTAAATTCGAAGTGTTCCATTGTATCATGGCATTTTCCAATAATCATACTCTTGATCTCTTCTTTATGTGGAATGCAAAGCCTTTCTTCGGTTTTACCAATAAAAAGAAGTAAATCATCAAACATTCGATATTAAGGGAATAGTCCAAGGTTCATTTGTAGGGTCCCAATGATAGGACTCCAGATTGGATCGTCAATGTAACCCTTACTGATTTGGTCCCCGCCGTACTGTTTTTACTTTCCTTCTCTCAAGTGTGCATCCTTGAAACTCAAGTGTCGTTGGGCCTAAATCGCACTTGAACTTAAGGTCCCTTAAGTTCAAGTGTCGGCGGATACCGCCAACATTCCAAGTTGAGTTTTTGTCTTTTCTTTTCTTTTTTCAGCAGGCAATCCTACTCCAGGATTGATTGGTCAAGCCGTGAAGTTCAGTTTCAGGTGCAGTTTATTCAAGGGTTTCCTCAAGTGTACATAAAACCATAAATCGACTACATATAAATTAATCACAATTTCTCGTTTTGTGTGCACTTGAAACTTAGTGTATTTTCAAGTGGTGTCGAACGAGGCTCTTAACCCTGAAACGTAAGATAAATAATACTTCCAAAATTGTTCTCGTCGGTACGAGTTCTTTCCTTAATTTCTTAATTATAAAAGTGAATGATAAATTGAAAAAGAAAAAAAAACAGTCAATCCCTTGTTTGCGAACATTGTCACAGTAAGGAATATAACAACTATGTAGTGTGTGTCACTGAAGGGAATATAATAATGTTGGTTTGTTTTTGTTGTCCTTTGTGAATTTAAGGCATTGAAACTCTCTTTACTGCTTGTTTAAACCAGCGGTACTTCCTAAGGCCGTGCCCATTAAAACACCAGTACATGGGTACTGGGGCTGCGCGTCTGACATCTCAAATTCTGGAGGTGCGAAACGAAAACGAGGCCATCGTTTGAATTTATCAACGGCGGGCCCAACATTTGACCTTTCGGCCTCATTTTGTTTTTGCGACAAGTTTCAGACTGCACGGATGGGGCTGTGTATTAGTGGTTTAGCAAGTTAGGATTTAGAAAACGTATGGGTCACTACAGGAGCGCCCAAATTTATCCGACTAGAAACATTTCTACTCTATTTTTTTATGTGGGATGATAGCTGGTTGAGACTTCTAGGAAGGCAAAACATACAACAAACATAGTTCGTAGTTCTAATTCAACTATGACAATCTAAGTGAGCACTTAGCCAGGAGGCACATCATAGAGAGAAGTGAGGGGAAGAAACACATAAAGAGGATGAAGATGACACATCAAGTCTCCCAAACGCGACACTAATTGGTCAGCTCATAATATTCATAAATCAAAAACCCATCAAGATTGACAACGTGCATTGATGGCAGTGATATTGACCGTCGTCAATATCCTGCACAATAGAACCTCGCTCAACCAGCGCAACCCTATGTCGCGTTTCGGCTGGTCGCCAACCAGTCATCATCAGAGGTCAAAGATGTCGTGAATTGAAGGACTTGAATAGTCAAGAAACTTACTTAAGTAGTCCTACATCCGCATACGCATACATGGAAAAAAAAATATTCGCGCCCGAGAAAAAACAATTTCTGCTATTACACGCATTCCTATCACTAGAAACTTCCAGAAAAACATAAGATCATGAACGTGCACCACCTTCATGCCCCAATTGGCAAACTTTCGGGTCAATGAATCAACCAGGAAATATGCCCAGTATCCTAGCCCGAACAAGAACGAAAACTCAACCTATTATTAGCAGGAGAAAAACAAAACAAACCGGATAGGGCTACTTTATCGAAAAAATAGGAGTTCGAGAAGGGGAATGAATGAAAGAGAAGAAAGAAAAAGAGAAAATAAAGGAGCCAGACCGGAATCAAGATGCTAGAGAGGGGAGCAATTCAAAGTCGGGTAGGCAGAGCACGCCTACCAAGAGTAAAGAGGTACACGGAGTAACAGTGATCATATATAAAAACCGTGCAGGGGTTCAAATCCAAATAAAAAAGATTTGTAGTACCCATGCTTAATCCTCAGCTCTCCGAGATAGAAGTGCATATAATGAGAGGAAGTGACAACGAGAAGTAACAAGAGGGACAACAGAGGGAGGATAGTAAGTTCATGACCACACACAAAAGTAGGAATAATTGCCTAATTATACCTTGCCCTCCCTTCTACCACTTCTACCCCAACCAGTAAAACACGACACCCAATTATCCCAAATCTCACCGAATTTGCTCGAGAAGTTCGTCAGAGCCGTATCGAAGTAATCATCAGGGAAGCTCCGCAACCTAAGCTTTATTTTCAACGTCAACAAAAAGACTGCCTCTCCCCCATTCATCGTGTTATACCTCCTTTCCCTATACAAAAAGGAGTTGATAACCGCCAATTTCTGTTGTCGATTTGTATAAGAACAGTAGTCCTGCAGGTTTTGGAAAATCGGTCCACCCTTCTTTGCTTCTCCTTAATTTTTGTGAGTGGCTGCGAACAAAATTTCATCAGGCCAATCTCTTACCGCCACCACACATCCAAGAAAATCCCAATGAAATGACATGTTCGTCCTTCCTAAGGTGAGATTGTCATGGTAACAATGTGTAAAGGTTTGCACCACCCCCTCAGCCTCCTCCCTCGAATCCGCATCCGATAACTTGTACCAGACAAAAATAGACACGTCGTCCACGATACATGCCTCATAAGTGAGAGTTCTCATATCCCGAAGAGAGGTCAAAACTTTGAACTTAGAGTATGCTGAGAGAAGGCAAGTGAGGGTAGGGCTCAAGATTTTGCCCATAGGTATGGCAATGTGTTGCCTCAGAATCGTACCGCATACGTTCACATAAGTGTAACTCAACTCAAATTTCACAAAGCAAATAATGTCATCAAACTCAACAGTCAACCAACCAATTTGTCCCTTACCCATCTTTATCTTAGCACCCTTTCCTCCTTGCTATATCAGCACCGCCCGACTCCCCTGTAGCCGCCAAAATTCTACCACCCATCGAACTCCCTCAATCACAACATCATGCGGCAAATTGCAGAACATTTCTTTAATGTCAAATGTCGTAGATACTTCACCCTTCTTCAAATCCTTATTAGCTTTCGAGATTCTTTCAATCAGCTCCTCCGTACTTTTCATAATGAAGTTTCTTCTCGAAGGCAAATCCCACGTCATTCTGTTAACCACTCTGGCCACCCGTTTGCTAATCTTCACCCCACATTCTTCAAACGTCGGGCAAATAGATCGCCACCTATTGACATCCTTATGTTTGGGGATTATATAACACTTACCCAATCTGCCTTTCGGATTCCACTTCCCCAGTCTGGTCAGCCCTAACTCCTCAAATTTGTGTCCATTGCTGACGTTCAGTCCATTGCTCCTCTGTTACATCACACTTCTCAAAGCCCGGATTCTCCACAAACATCTTCTCCATCCATTTCCAATAGATCAGCGGGCAGCACACCAGAGAATCTCCCGGGTTATGATCTATCGGACAACATACAAGCCCCCTGAACTGATCCTTCCATCTACCTACTTCCGCCGAATCACAGCAGTCATACTCCTCCCCCTAGTCTTATTGAAACAACCCTCAATCATCGGCTCGAACAACTTCCCCCCAAACTCCGTCTGTGTCAATTGACAAAATCCCAACAAAGAGTCAAAAGCTTTGAGCAGCTATTTCCTCAAATTTTCCTTGGAGCAGCCATGTGTTGGTTTCATAATGTTACGTGCATTCCTCATCCACTCCGACACAAAATTCGCCTCACTCGCCCTAAAACGCACATGACCGTCAATCCGAGTAAACTGTTCTTCCACCCCCATGCAACCACAAACCAGAGCCATCTCGTTTGCCATGAATCGAAAGTTATAAATAATATCCCCAATGCTATGGTTCTTCTCAAACACCACCCGCATTCGTCGGACCACCATCAGCCTCCACGCTTCAAACAGACTCAGCTCCCCTACTAATCCTGCACAAAGCCTTCGAATCCCAACCTTGCACGGCGACTGATAAAAAGTGACTTTCGCAGTTAACCTATCCCGCACATTAATCCCAAATCTTCTTCTAATCATCCCGGGCAGAATACATCGCAAGCTGTAACGTGTGCGTTTCTCAGAAAAGGAACGAATAACATCAAACAGCCAGATCAGTTGCCCTAAGTTCCAAGATAACAACTCCTTCCTGGATGGTGGATGACTCAAAAGTTTCGCCAGAAGAGGTTTAAAGGCAGATAGGGATGAACAAAAGAAAATGATATTAAAAAATTCAATCGTCATGCCATGCGTCAACCATCCACGTGCTCTCCTCAATTGCATTATCCCACGACAACTACACACAATCGATGACCCATAGCATCTTTTATCAACTTTCACTGGTTGATCAACAAATCACCTCTCTCACATTCAATCTTCACACAACCCACCGCTCGTTGTCTACAGTCATTTAACAGTCTAATCAGATTAGCCGACGAGCACCCTTCTGGTGTCGTAAAGATTAGATTACTCATTTTTTCATCCTTCTTCCCCTCCATATTTTTCCTTCGAGCCCGCTTATATCTCTCCTTCTTCCTCGACACCTTCTTTTGACACCCACAAAGCTTATCTCTACTATTCAAATGTGGATAGAATCGTCGAATCACAAACTTCTCAAGGTCAAAGAGATCCGCCTCAACACAAAACATCAAAGGTAGCGTTACATATCCCACCGTACCACACCTTCTCAACCAATTGTACAGACGCTCGCTCCTTCTCCCAGACAACACAACATTCTGATTACGAACTCGGAAGAGGTGTTCCTTCCACCTTACCTCTAGTGACCTACTCGTTGCTCCCACATACACATGTTTCACCCAAGGAAGATCAAGATGTACACCAGAGATCCTTCACAACTCACCAAATCCTTCTTTCACACCTCCGTCAGATACACATTGTTCAGTCCCCGCTTCTTCAACCCCATGTCGCACCGCCTTCCTAGCCGTCTCCTTATCTTTTTTCCCAAAACGGGCATCGGTCCTTATCTCTCCAATTTCATCCGCCGTCATTTCAACAGTCTTGTACGTGATGCCTTCTTGTTTGCACAAGATTTCGAGCCCCTCCTTCTTCAGAGCCCGAAGCCTCTTTTTCTCAATCTGCAAGAACGTGAACATGTCGTTGACATCAACCGCTGACCCTTCGTCGGTCCCCATACGCACAACTATTGCACGAGGCCTTCCTCTCCTCATAGTCTTCAGCGCGTTACCACCATCTTCTGCTGCCTCTCCCAATCTTGTTTTCAAATTCATACCACTTATCGGTGTGATAGCAACCTTCGTCGTCAGTTTCTCCATCTGCTCTCGTAGCTTCGCTACTTCGGCCTCCGCAGCCAACTTCTCTGCCTCCGCCTCCAGCCGTTTCCTTTCTTCAGCAACCGTCCTTTGTTTAAGCACCTCAACCTCTTGCAGCGTACATTGCTCCATATCTCTCATTTTTCTCAATTCCTCATGGAGCACACCGGATGGTGATTCCACAATACGTATCCTGAACCGAGTGCAATTGTCAACTTCCGGCGTGATCATAGAGATGCACCCTCAGTCCCTCACTTGTTCCCAGGCCTTAGAGCTTCGTTCCTCCACATCTGAGTTTCCTCGACGAATTCTTCTTTTTCCTTCCTTAACAGCTCAACCTCCGTCTTCAATCCCAGAAGAAGCACCTCGTCCTTGTCCCTACCAGGTCGAAGTTCCCGCATTTCCTTCATCAGCACACACATTCCATTTTCCAATGGATCCGTTGTCGTATTCACCTTCTGCCGTAGCTTTTCATTCTCCCGCAATAGCCTGTCCACTAGACTCTCGCTACTCGAATACTCCCGCTCCAACTTCCACTTATATTCTTCGTTCTCTCTCCTTAATCTTGTTATCTCGTCATTCACCGTGTTTTGCAAGCCAGCTCTCGTAGTCACTACCGTAGTAGCCTTATCCGCCGCTGACCGTACACCTCCATATATCATTGTCAACCTTTTTTCCAACCGATCTCTGACGGTCCGACCCTTACTTCAAACTCTTCGCGTTCTTTTTGCTGCTCCTTTTTCCTATTCTTATTCTCCTCCTCTCGCTTCTTCTCCGCTTTTTCTGCCTCAGCTTGGTCAACAAAAGCAACACATCTATCGAGATTTTGACTCCAGAATCCTCTCCCTGGGTCATACCCTTCAGCCGGATACGGTTGCACCGGTACATGTTGCATAGGGGTCATTGGAACATTGGCAGGAGCCAGCAGAGCCAGGATCGGAGCACTTAAAGCAATAGTGTTCGCCCAAGTCGCTGGTGCTCTCCGAGGACGTGACCACTCTCTTGAGAAATGCCCCGAAACTCCATAGTTTTAACAGTTCCAAACAAAAGGTGCCGCCATTTTTGTATTGTAACAGCCACACAAACTGTAGTCTTATTCCTACGGTGGTTACTCACACAAATGTATGGTTGAGACTTCAAGAAAGACAAAACATACCGCAAGCACAATTCATAGTTCTAATTCAACTAGGACAATCCAAGTGAGCACTTAGCCAGGAGGCATGTCATAGAGAGAAGCTAGGGGAAGAAACATACAAAGAGGATGGCGATGACACATCAAGTCTCCCGAACGCGACCTTGGCGGTGTCGGTGCGAATACCCTTACAAGGATATCCGCCTTAGTTTTTGCAAACGACAGAAAATAAGTTAGACGTTTGAGTATACCGCGCGAGTCGTGGCAGTCTCCGTTGTTTATGCGGATGATGGTCGATTAGAATAAAGAGTGTGCGGGCGTACAGATTTGAGGCGCGCGTGATCTCTTTTAATTGTTGATAATTGAAAAGTCGGCGCGATCGCCGACCGAATTTTTTAATTTATTTTTAAGTTAGGATTAAAAAAATTATGTCTCGTTGATTTGCTTGCCTGTGACCTATGTGTACGTGCGGAGAACGACATCAACAACGAGGAGGTTTTGAATTGTTTTTAATAGGCCCGCGCTTCACGTGGTGTCCGTTTAGTTAAGGGTCCGAGTTAAACCAAGATTCGGGCCTACCGCTAGCGCTTGCGGCAACGGCGCGGGGATATTAGAGTAGCGCGACGGAATTGAGGGGTTGAGGGCCTGGCGGATTGGTTTTGTCGTTAGCTGCAATAGGACGGTGCTAATTTTCTTTTTTAGTTTGTCATATTTCGTCGACTAAAACTTTCGATATTTTATTATTTTGTTTTATGTGTCGGTCTTTTCTTGACTCAAGGGGGCGGCACCGGTTCTTAGAGTTCGTCACGACAGTTGAGAACCTCAGGCGCGGGGCCTTCCGTGGAGGACTTACGAGTTTCCGTGTGTTTGGGATGCTTGCAAAAATCCTTTGCGCTGTCCATCTCGAGACGCGGATTGATGAAGTCAACGTGTATGCGGACCGGTAGGGGATTAGCCCACAAGGCGGAAAAACTTGAATGGCGGGAGCCTCTTCTGGGAGCACCGTCCGCCGGCCGCGAGTCCTCTGCAGTAGGTTTGAGTGTGAGTATGCCCATTGAAAGTCTGAAAGGAGGCAGGTGGCGCCTGGGCAAGAACGGCCCGGGGTACTACAACTGGGGCACGCAGGACTATAGGGGCAACTCTACTGAAACAGAGTGACTGGAGGCGGTAAGCAGGACCTACGGCGCTGCAAGCTACAGGTAGTGTCCGTTGGACTCGGGTATAGGGGCGGAAGACTAATTGAGCCACCTAAGGCAGTCGGCCCCTCAGAAATCTCCCTAAGATCCGGGAGCTAACGAGCAGACCGTGGCGTGGGTATTGTCGGGGTGGAGAAGTAGGAGAAAGTGGCGAGAAGGTGGTGAGAAGGACGTCGGCAGTAGTATACGCTAGACGCACAGGCAGCCGGGCATGGCAAAGGGGCGGAAGACTAATCGGGCCGTCGGGGAGTCGGCCGCTTGTTGGAGTATCGTCCGTGACGACCTGACCGGAATGCGCTGGGCACTGGGGGACTATTGCGGGCGGAGAGCTGCATTAGTAGTTGAGGCAGAGTGGGGCGGACTGAGGGCAGGATACAACGGCGAAGGGATAGAGCAATGAGTGAATCGGGACGCGAAATCAGGCGGGGTGCATGCAAAGTATGAGAGAAAAGGCTATGGCGGAGGGCGAAAACGTATGCCCGCTCAATTCATCGTGAAAGCGAGTTTGGGAGGATCGCGAGTGAGGGTTCTGGGACCAGGCGAGCGTGATCGTGAAGTCAGTTTGATTAGAGAGTTAGTAGAAGAAGTGGTGGTAGGAAAAAGAGGTGCGCGGGGAGTATGAAAGTGAAGAGTGGGAGTGAATGAACCTGTCGCGAATTCGCGCCGGGTGCATCCGAAGTTGAGAAGCAGCGAAGGCGCTATGGCCGAGTGAAAAAGAGGTAACAGGCCCGTTCCTTAACGGAATCGGGCGAAGTAAGAGCTGGTTCTGGAGTTTTGACCCCGGGCGAGCACAATTATGAAGTTAGATTAGTTAGTAAGTTAGTAGAAATAGAGTTAGAAGGAAGAAACGGTGCGCCGAGAGATCTCGGAGAGTGGAGGAGTGAAGGAAGCGAATAGCTCGCCCGACTCTCGACGGAATTGGGCAAACCAAGATTTGTTTTCGTAGTTATTGGATAGGGCGAACTAGATTGTAAGGTTAGTTTCTACTAATAGTGAATGGGTGTTGAGGTACGAAAGGAAGAGGCTGCGCCCAACGGCTATGGCAACGAGGATATGGTGGAGGAAAAGGCTAATAGCAAACCCGATTCCTAACAGAATCAGGTAGGGAAGGAGTCGAACTGCAGGTTTTCAGCCATCGCGAATGCGATGGCCGGATGAGTTTCGGTGCTAGGATGATGGTTAGCTCGGTATCGAGGTTGGAGGCCGCGCAGAGCTATGGTGAAGGGAAAAACGGGAGCGATGGGATTGAAGATCGCATGGCTCGCTCGTTCTACGATGAAAACGAGCGAGTGAAGATGGGATTCCAAGGTTCTAAAGCACGGCGAGTTAGATGACAGCGGCAGATTAAGGCATTAGTGGGCGGTTTCAGCGATATGCGCAATGAAGGCTGCGCCGGGAGGGAGCCTCGAACTTGCGCGATGATAAAGGTGTGGGGTCAGTTGCGGGGATTGGAGACTTACCCGTTAGCCTGTACACCAAGCAAGAATGGAAGGCTATCTGTCTGGCCAGTGAGCTGTTCAACGGGGAGGCAAGCGGCACAACTGCAAAGTTGTCTGTTGGCTATCGTGGCGCCCGCCTCACCAGCCTGTGCAGCGACAAGGTAGCTGCGGAATTACAAGATCCCGCTGAAAGGAGTGATAAGGAGAAAGGAGGGGGCGCTGTGTTTTATGTTATTGCCCCATGTCTCAAGTTGCGGTTGTGGCAGTACAGGTCTCGAGCTTCAATGGGGCAGCAAGGGAACTTGTGGGGGAGCTGCAGGCCTAAAGGCTTACCTGCTGGCCGGTGCGATGCCCAGTTCGTTGGGCAAAGCTGCAGCAGACGAGCCGCGGGGACGGTAGGTCGCTGCAGATCTGTCTGATGGTCGGGGTTATTGGAGTTACCGACGGTCTAAGCGCGTGACTGAGGGTGTCATTGTGAGCTTGGAAGATTACGGGAGGATCGAAGGTTGACAACTGACTTTAGTTTGATCGGGCTATTGCGCGCTCCGGCCGCCATTGCGGTGCCCTCAGGCGCGTCAAGGTATCAAGGCCCTCTCACGCGAGTCTGAGAGCACCCTCCTTGGATCTGAGAGTCTAAATGCTTCTCCTTCTGCCCTTCTTACTCTAAGTCTAATCCTGATCTGAGAGGAAGGCGGCAGTCGGGATTGCAACCCGTAGGACCGCAACAAGACTATGTGGGGAGTCTGCCCACCGATTGCGGGAGCTCTGCCGGAACTCAGGAAGAGTTCTGGAGGTAGAGAACTGAAAGGTAACCATTGTTTTTTTTTAATAAACCCAATATAACCCCTATCCGTATTCCCTGTTGTGTTTTGACTTAGTATATTGCATGCATCCTTTCTTTGACTCTTAAGTTTACTTTTAGGATACAACCAGACTTAAATAAAGGAATCTGTGCAAAATTTCATTTTCAGTTTTGTTGTTTGACTGAAAGCAGATTGAGAAACAAAGAGGGTGCATCTGGGGGAAGGATGGGAGGAAGGCACTATTGCTTTAACAGTTTGGTTGGGTCATTAAGGCTGGGAAGTTCCCATAAGTTTGGGGAGACCCAGTGCTATGTTTATTTTGGATTGCTTGGAGCATCATACCATTCTATAAGTTTAGGTGGTGTGATTGCTCTGGAGGCTGGGAAGTCCCCATAAGTGTGGGGAGACCTAGTGTTATGAGATTGCTTTGAGAATCAGGTCATTCTATAAGTTTAGGTGGTCTGGTTGCTCTGACCTGCGAGGGCTAGTTGTGCTTGACTTTTTCAGGGGCCAAGTGCACTCTGTAAGTTCAGGTGCCTTGGTTGCCTTGTTTATTCTGGGTTTTTCTTTGTTTATTTGGTTCTGAACGAGGAGGTCTGAGCCATTCTATAAGT